CAATGTTTGATCCCAGGTATGGGAATTCTTTTACTATTTCTATTTATTTATTGTCTAGGCTGAACTTGTAAAGGTCCTTGGTGGTCATTATTTTTGTTTTATGTTCAACATTAAGCCTGCCTGAGCACTTTCTTCTTTGATCTTCCTTAGGTGTTCTAGGTCTGTGAGGTTTTCTGCTAGTACTATAGCATCATCTGCATATTTTAGATTATTGATAATCCTTCCTCCTATTTTCACTTCTCCTTCTGTGCTTCTGTGTCCAAGCCTGCTTTTCTTACAATATGTTCTGCATACAGGTTGAACAGATAGGGTGAAAGGATGCAGCCTTGTCTTACCCCTTTGCCAATTGGGAACCATTCTGTTTCTCTGTGTTCTGTTCTGATAGTAGCCTCTTGTCCTGAGTACAGATTCCTCATCAGGACTATCAGACGTGTTGCACTCCCATGTCTTTAAGGGCATTCCATAGCCTTCCATGATCTATGCCAGGGGTCAGCAACATTTGTTGTCGGAGGGCGGGGAAATGGCGTGGGGGCCAGGCAGGCATGTGCATACTTGTGTGCACGTGTATTTCTCCCTGCACACGCATGTGCACAACGCCCGCCGTGGTGCGCATGCATGCATACATGGGGGCGCCATTTTGGAAGGCCACAGCGCACACGCTCCAGGGGAATTTGCCTGGAGCAGGTGTGTTGGGGCCTTGCCAGGGCCCAGGGAAGGCCCCAGCGCGCCTGCTCCGGGGAATTCGCCCTGTGCACGTGCGCTGCGGTCTTCCAAAATGGCGCCCGCACTCACACGCATGCTGATGGATGCACTTTGGATGCCAAAATGGTGCCTGCGTTTCCGCACGGCAGCGGGACAGGCCAGAGGCCGGTCCCAAGGCCTCCGCGGGCCGCACCTGGCCCACAGGCTGTAAGTTGCCGACCCCTCATCTATGCAGTCAAAGGCTTTACTTTGACTACATAAAATAATAATAAAACCTACCTCTGACCCCATGCAGAGTAGAGGCCATTTGCTATTGCTGTTTGCAAAATGTCGATAATATTCAGGGGTAGCTCTATTGGCCATTTAGCAAATTCAAACAAAAATCCATCAGTGATACCTTTATTGGTCAACCAAAATGCACACTATACTTGTTGCAAGCTTTCAGTGCTCTTTGGGCTTCTTCATCAGGCAAGATGTTCCAAACCAAACAGGAGAAAAACAATTGGAGATGTTAGTCAGATGCCTACATGTTGTTTCAGTGTTTAATTAAGATGGTATATGGTGGGGAGGATATCTTTTGCAGGCAGCCTCCTCCTCTTCCTGGCCCTGTGGCTCTAAGGAGATTTGCAAAGTCCAGAAAATTTAAATTCCGTTTGCATCTCAACAGGAACCCCTCTTTTGCAATCCAATACGTGGATATACCCAAGATTGCTATAGTTCAAAAAACTGCTTTGTAGTTTTGTAGCACAGACTTCCAAATACCCCACCAAAGTACGCATTACAGGATTCTGCAGGCACCATCACAGTTACCAAATTTGCAGTAAAGGTCTTGTGATGTGTTTTGCCATAGGGGGTATTAAGGGAAAGAAACCCCCTTTTTATTTCTTCTCAGCCTCCCTGAAACATCCGACTACTGCGTCTGGAGAGAAAGTCTGTGTAATGTTTGTTGTTGTTGTGTGTCTTCAAGTTATTTCTGACTTATGGCGACTCTAACGTGGACCTATCACGGGGGTTTCTTGGCAAGTTCTTTAGAGCAGGGGTTGCCAGTGCCATCCTGAGGCTGAGAGAGTGTGACTTGCCCAAGCAGGGATTCAAACCCTGGTCTCCAAAGTCATGGTCCAGTGCCCAAACCACTATACCACACTGGCTCATCTGTATAGAATACAGAAAGGGAAAGTGTATTATGTCAGATTTATTTTTTTAAACTTGTGACAAACCTTCGCTAATCTGAGTTCCTCCCAAACTTTCTTTACTCAAGAAGTTCAGCCTTCTTTCTCTCTGCAATTTCCCTTTATTATTATTATTTTTTAAACTGATATGTCCAGCAGTCAGTGGCTCATCAGCTCTCAGTATTCTGTATATCCTGGATAGGACTGAACACAGGTTTTTCTCAGGCAATGGGGAGGGGAGGTTTTTTAAAAAATTCTAAATTTACAAAAGCAGTGCATTTTTGCATACTTGGGAAATATCCTAAGGATACAAAATGACACTGCTTATTTTACTGCTAAACTGAACTGGTTGTTGCTGCTGCTGCTGCATGCCTTCAAGTTGTTTCTAACTTACGGTGACCCTAAAGCAAACTTCTAATGGGGTTTTCTTGGCAAGATTTGTTCAGAGGTTTGCCATTGTCTTCCCCTGAATCTGAGAGAGTGTCACTTGCCAAAGGTCAATAGGTTCACATGGCCAAGCCAGGATTTGAATCCTCCACTTCAGAAACTTAGGGCCTAAGCAGACTGCCAGAAATAGTGCACATTAA